GTAAGCATTGAGGCCACAGTGACACCTTGTGGTGCCCAAACGAAGTATAAGAAGTGTAGCCTACATGACACGCCTGTTGATAGTGTGGGATGAATGATTTAGATGGGCAATATGGACAAAATCTTATATCACAGGTTATTATTTAAATTTCACGTGGGGTTTGTTTCGGCTGGGAAGCGTGCAATCTGTGATCGAGTGCATTTGTTGAAGCTCGCGAAAACCTGCAATCGCATTCTTATGCACGCTGTTTTTTTTAGGTTTCACTTTCAACGCATACAACGCATGTTTCAAAGATTCGGGATAGAAGGAGGCATCAGTTACTGTAGAAGATTTGTCACCTCACGCCACTTCCCATAATGGGTTCTCTTGGTGTAGACACAGCTTTAGATTCGGATTAATCGGCTGATTAATCACACGTCTTAGGCTGGAAATATCCAGAATTAGATCAAACAAAAGGTGTCCATGGGAACGGAGCTAGTGAAACACACACGCCATACATTATAGACTAAAACACGCTTAATATTCGCGACTGACACCAACGATTGTATGCGGCTATGCAGTGGAGATGCGTTCACTGTCAAATATCATTCAGCATTCATTTTGAAATTGTCAAATATTTTTTCTTGATTACAAGAAAAAAAACTATTGTTCTTGTTGTGATTTATTTTTTGTTTTTCATTTAATTCATAAGTTAACACTGCAAATTAAATGGTTTCGTTCTTTTCTGCAGTCGAAGAAAGTATAGCCTAAATTATGTCAGTGATTTCTCTCATTTTAAAGATTATCAAGATTTTGAATTGAAGGACTGAATTGAACGAGGAGCAATACTGTTATTTATTCATTTCCATTTATTGTATTTTTTTCCTTTTCCTCTTTTACCCCCAAAAATTGTTTAAATGCTGGGAAATTGAATATTGTAATTTTGTTTGTGTATTTTTCTAAGTAACATTCTTTGACTTGAAAAAGCAAGATCTATTTTTGTGACTGTTATTTAACTCCAATTTTTTTTCTTTCAATGCTTTTGTGTTATTGTGTGGCTGGCACATTGTGTATCGGTGGCTTTGTCTTGAGTTTATCTGGCAAGTGAAAAACTAAAAAACTAAAATATATAAATATTTTGACTTGATAAATTTTGGTCTTGTCCGGCGCCCAAAAACGAAAAATAAATAAAATAAAGGTATTTAAGTTTAACTAACTCAAAATCTAGTTTGGTCTAATTTGGGGACCGCCACCATTACACATGTCCATATATTTTAAGTGGCAGCTTCTCTGTAGATAATCAGGGTTGTGGGGTTGCATTCTGTTAAAATAACTCAAAAGATAAAAAGACATGACTGGTCAGAAACCAGTTACAATGTGAAAGTTAAAATTTTGAATATAAAATAATTTACCTGCTGAGTGTTTGCTGACAGTCTATGTAGCTGGATGGTTGGGCTCTAGAAAATCAATAATGAGGTGGCTTTGACAGTTGTACATTTGGAAAAACAAAAAGGTGGGAATTAAAAACTCTAAACGCTAACAGAAAGAACCATTTCAGCACAAAAGGGTTCTTCAGGATGATATGGTTCTAAATAGAACTGTTACTATGTGTAAAAAAGACCATCTTTGAACAAGTCTAGTATAATAAACTGATGCATACAAAATGCTCCACATGGAGTGGGGTCCCTGCAAACAAGCCTTCTCTGGCTGCAGTAACTGTGTATTTCTGAAGCATATTATAGCAAAAGTTGTAAAAAAATAAACTGATCTGATGATTCAATCATTATGTAGTGACCTTATTCCCTGATCTCACCCAGAGTTTGATCTCTGAGGACATTATACAGATTTCATTACTTCACATTATAGACACATACAACTACTTGAAATTTTATCCTGCTTCATTTTGAAAATGTTTAAGTCATTATGTAGACATTATTTGAATGGGATCATGTAGACTCACACAGATATCAAGATTCAACGTATGAACCTCAACAATGGTGACAGTTAACAAAATATTCAGATCAATGCTGAACATCACAAAACAAGGTTTTCATTGATTGTCACCATTGTTTAGGTTCATACGCTAAATCTTGTTATCTGTGTGAGTCTACATGATCCCTTCCAAACAAGTTCTGCATATGATTTAAAAATGTTCAAAATAAAGCAGGCCAATATATCATACAGATTCGTTTTTCTTACAACTTCTGCTATAACAAATGTGCTTCAGAAACACACAGTTACAGTAGACAGTGAAGAACTTAAGTTAAAAAGTCAAGGGTCAGGAACCCAACTAAAACAAGAGCTTACCTCCATAACGGTGACTTCAAACTTTATTAATTTCAATAAAAAAGCGCTAAGGCTTCCTGGAGGCTAATGGCGCTTTTCCACTGCATGGTACGGCTCGGTACGGTTCACTTTTGGGGGGTTTTCCACTGGGTACAGTACCTGGTACTTTTTTTAGTACCACTTCGGTTGGGGTTCCAAGTGAACCGTACCGTTACCAAAACGTGACGTGTAAACTCTGCTGATCACGTATTGGCCGGAGAGAATCGTCACTACCTGCGTCACTGAACTTGCGACACAAACACAAAAGAACCGCTAGATGAAGAACTTAAGTTAAAAAGTCAAGGGTCAGGAACCCAACTAAAACAAGAGCTTACCTCCATAACGGTGACTTCAAACTTTATTAATTTCAATAAAAAAGCGCTAAGGCTTCCTGGAGGCTAATGGCGCTTTTCCACTGCATGGTACGGCTCCCGACGGTTCACTTTTGGGGGGGTTTCCACTGGGTACAGTACCTGGTACCTGGTACTTTGTGCTGCAAAATTCAGATGGGTGATTTAAATTTTAAATTGTTTGAAAACAGTTTGAAATTTGTGTTTGAAATTTGTATTAAAAACATGCAGGACTATAGCCCAGTTGTCAGGGCCTAGTCATGTCCCTGTCTATAAGTATGATCATTTTATTTTAAATGTATTATCTTTTAAAAGTCAGAAGTAAATCTTGATCATATTCTTGATGTTTTTGTAGCTCTATTGGAATAATTATTTACCTCTTTTCTTTTGCAGATAACATCATCCAATTCCTCTGAACATATCTGTACCTTTTGCCTACCCGTGCAGCAGCAGACATGCATGGTTCTGAGGAGAGCGCATCTGGAACCGTGCTTCACAGGCTTATGCAAGAGCATCTTAGATACGGAACAAGTGGAATCAGAGGAGGGGTAGAAAACGACAGCTCTCAGATGCCAAGCAACCCCACATCTACAGAAAACCTACTCCTTCAAAAGGAGGGTCAAGTAGCCCATTCATATCAGCTTATGCCCCTGCAGTCTCAGTCTCGACAGGAACCTCAAGGTCAGGAGCATCAAGTGGACAGCAGCTCCATGGAAAAAAATGGTGGTGTGAGCCAGGGTGCAGGTAGAGAAGTCCAAGCAGCCCAGACTTCACCTGGGTTTGACACTCTGGAGCTTCCATCATACGAGGACGCTAAAATCCAGTCTCAGCTTTACAGAGGGCAGCAAAGTCCGACAGACCCTCAGTCCCAAATCCCTGGCCACAACCACCAGAGTATTGAAAATCCAGATGACCTATTAAACAATTTTCAACAAAATCAGGAGCAGGACTTTCACAAAGAGGGCAATAAAAACATTGTCCACCAAAGTCAGCCGCAACACAACTCGTTTCAGCAGATGCAGCAGTTGTCAACAATGTCTGACAGTCTTGCAAGCTCACATTCCTGTCTGCCATCACTTTCTAACACACACTCACTTGCTTCCCCTCCTTCTCTTTCATCTTCTTACACCTCTCTCTCAGCGGTTCCCATGAAGGCCCTTTTGGAGGGTCAATCATGGGTCCAGCAAGGGGGCACTGGTGGTAAGTTTCTTTGTGATGAAAGTCTGGCAGAGTTAAAACAGGGTCATGTTCGCTCTCTAAGTGAAAGGATCATGCAAATCAGTGTAGAATGCAGTGGAGCTAAGCAAAGTGTAGGACCATCCAATTCACCTTGCACAGGAGACACTACTCTTTGTGAGGCTGATAATACAGCAGATTCTCTCTCACTAACTAGTAAGACCTCCATGAGTACCCTACAACTTCCACCACCACCCTTAAACTCTCCACAATGGACTTTGGATCAAAGAGGTCCTCCCCCAGAATATCCCTTTAAGTTCAAGGTACAAACTATGCTTTCGCCTACATTACACCCCAACTCAGATTCTCTGGAACATGGCCACTTCAACAGTGATACCTTGACAGCAGCCATGTTGGAGACAGTGCCACTTAGAAATATAGCAAGGTAACGGTAACAGAAACTTTAAGGTGAATTGTGTAAATTCTGCACTACTAGCAGCACCAATTGGAACTGCAAAAATAATGGCTTCCAAATTCCCCTAAACAGCTTATTACGGGTACATAGTGCTGGGCGGTATACCGGTTCATACCGAATACCGGTGTTTATTTTTGTTATGATATGAATTTTTAAAATACCGCAATAACTGGTGTATGTCGCTTAAACAACGTTCGGAACGCGACACTGTTTGAAAGGGGTCCCTTTTCGCTGTTGCACTGTGGTGAGGGAACAGCTGTATGTGTTACTAAGCATGAAAGTTCCGAAACTGAAGCTGTAGAACTAATAGAACATGATGACACAGAAGAACTCATCCACAATATCCACATTGACCGCCACAAATATCCACCGCCCCCTGCCATCAGCTCCCGCGTCTCACACACACGAGCGCGACTTTAGCACTAGATTTAGCAACTTTCACACCCTTTTAGCGGCTTTTTTCCATAGAATATTCATACTGACAAACCTAGCAACTTTTTTGGATAAACCTTAGCTATGGTTCAGTTGGAAGATTTCCCGCGAACGCGAGGTCTGACTTTCCCGGAGAAGTGTCGCCTCTCTCGGCGTCTGTTCTGTGCAGTGAGCGGCAGAGAAGCAGCGCATTCAGTTGGCCGCACCGCAGCCGACTCGTCAATAAATTAGTACAAAACAGCATTTCCAAGCACCTGTCGCTTACTGATTGTTTGGAATTATAAATATGAGCGTAGTTCGTCTGTTAATATCACATGCACATTTTTTTTTGTTTTTTTTTGTTACTCAGACGCAGGCAGTGCGCTGCATGAGACACCGGTATAATTTTGAAAAATACCGTGATATAAATTTTTGGTCATACCGCCCAGCACTACGGGTACAGGATTATTACATATTATTGGCTGAGCCAAACACTGATATGTTGGACCATTAAAACAAACAATGTTTTTAAGGTGGCTCAGTGTTTATGCTGTAAGCCAACATACTAGTGACTTGTTTATAGTTGTCTCTGCATTAAATTAACTCCTGTCTATTGAACTTGTATATGATAAACTGTTTTAAATTCAAAAACTGTACACACTTCACCTATATGCATTTAATGAACAGGTGTTGGCACATTCCCTTTCTCACATTTCACTTGCTGTCTTTTTGTATTTTAGACAATGTCCTTTGTCTACATCACAGCACCAAACACAGACCAGTCCCATGACTTCTGAGACTTGTATCCTGCCCTCACAGGCTTCTCAGCAACAATATCAGGCTATATCCCTATCTCAGTCCCTGGCATTTCCTCCAGCTCAGACTGGATCTGTGACCCAGGAGCTGTTTTCTTGTGTGGCCCCTTTTGGACAGCCTTTCCCAGGGGAAGCATTTGCCATGGTAAGCCATGGCAAGCAGATGCTGGAGACCCTAAAAGAAGAGAACCAAAGCCTTAGACAAGAACTTCACAAGCAAAATGAGAAGGCCAGCAAACTACAGCAGGTACTTGTCTGTGTGTCTGTCCACCTGTCTGTCTATAATATTAATAGCAAAGAGGAAACATAATCAAAACTGCTCATTATTACAGGCTATTTACTCGAAAGTGCTCTTATAATTCAAACTAATATTGAATTATCCAAAGTAATATTGAAAATTACAGTGTAATTGTTACACATGTGACAGGAAGTAGTGAATAATAAATATTGTTGAGCAGTAGCCCAGTATGACTGTAATACAGCACTCTGACACAAGGACATTTGCATGCTTGTTTATGCTGTATTTCCAGTTGGAGGCAGAGACTGTGTGCCTGTCAGATGCATATGAGAGTTTAGTGAAGAGCTCATCCAAACGGGATGCTTTGGAAAAAACCATGAGGAATAAGCTAGAGGCGGAGATCAGGCGTCTTCATGATTTTAACAGAGACTTAAGAGGTGAGATTGTTTAAAATGCCCATGCTTTGATTAGAACCTGTGGTTTATACAAATTCGACCAAATTTTATTGCTGAACTTTGTGAGTAGGTAGTTATAGTATTGTATTTGTTTGTAGATTTAGCTTACTTTAGCTGTTCTTGGGTCCTGTGGCATATCTTTTTTTCATGTGTTTTTCAGACCGTTTGGAAAAAGCCAATCAACAGCTAGCCAGTCAGGAGCTGAAGGGACAAGATGACGGGCACTTGTATCTTTCACAGAGTGGGATTTTGCTTCTTATTGCAAATCATCACATAAATATGCTCACTTTTTGCTGAGTCTGTTCACTGTTAAAAATATGTCTAGCTACTCAACCCAAACCATTTCCTGCTTCCCTTCCTTCCTGTCATGTACCTCTTCCTCTCTTGCACTCAAATCTCTATCTCTCTATCTATAATTAAAATTCCATTATTGAGCAAGTACAGGTGCATCTCAATAAATTAGAATGTCGTGGAAAAGTTCATTTATTTCAGTAATTCAACTCAAATTGTGAAACTCGTGTATTAAATAAATTCAATGCACACAGACTGAAGTAGTTTAAGTCTTTGGTTCTTTTAATTGTGATGATTTTGGCTCACATTTAACAAAAACCCACCAATTCACTATCTCAACAAATTAGAATATGGTGACATGCCAATCAGCTAATCAACTCAAAACACCTGCAAAGATTACCTGAGCCTTCAAAATGGTCTCTCAGGTTGGTTCACTAGGCTACACAGTCATGGGGCAGACTGCTGATCTGACAGTTGTCCAGAAGACAATCATTGACACCCTTCACAAGGAGGGTAAGCCACAAACATTCATTGCCAAAGAAGCTGGCTGTTCACAGAGTGCTGTATCCAAGCATGCTAACAGAAAGTTGAGTGGAAGGAAAAAGATGCACAACCAACCGAGAGAACCACAGCCTTATGAGGATTGTCAAGCAAAACGATTACTACTTCAGTCTGTGTGCAATGAATTTATTTAATACACAAGTTTCACAATTTGAGTTGAATTACTGAAATAAATGAACTTTTCCACAACATTCTAATTTATTGAGATGCACCTGTACATAAAAAAACTGTTTTCAAAACTGTTTAATGTTTTATATTTTACAAATTTCTGGTTAACATTATTCATCTTTACTTATGTCATGCCTTATAGGACTTTCTTTTTTCTGCCAGTCTTGATGTAGAATGACACATGTGCTCAAGGCAAGCACCTTGTACCATAAACCATCGGATTTCTACAGTAGAGCAATGCTACGTACAACTCTGGCCTGTCACACAAAGCTAGTTGAAGACAGAATATAAAGTTGACATAACCAAACAATTCCAACCTAATTTGGATCAGGTTTGGTGAGATCACAATGCTTGCAAAAAAACATTGTCTACGTGGGTTTTGATTCAGAGTTTATGTTTAACTCTGAAATGTGTGCACCTGAAAAGTGTGACATCTGCAGCAAATCAACTTCTCTTCTAAAGATTAAGAAATTGGCATACAAAAAAAAGTTCTCAACCTAAACTTAAACTTACCTAGCCACTGCAGCTTTGTGTAATTGGCAACTACATCCAAAAAAAAAAAGTTTCACAGTGCACCTTTAAGTTCTCTAAAACACATTTTTATTTTGTAATTTGTTTTTCCTCAGGGAGAGAAAGCCTGAAAGATCTGGAAAAATTAGAGATAGAGGCAGCCAGTCTCCGATCAGCCAATGAGGATCAGCGACGACACATTGAGATCTTAGAGCAGGCTTTAAATAATGCTCAGAGTAAAGTCCTTAAACTAGAGGAAGAGGTGAGTCTTAAGGATTATCCTAATGGATTGTTGGTACTCTTTTAAGTAAATATTAACTTTGCCATCGCTTTCATCACCATTACGCTTTTCACAAACTAAATGAAACTAGCGTTGTGATTAAAATTATTAGAAATGCATATCTAGCAAATACATGCTTTTAGTAACTTAGGAATATGAAATTGCAGTATGAGTTGTGTGTCATTTGTAGGTTTAAAGTCCCCCTACAGTCACTAATTTTTTAGAGTATTTTTAGAGTAAACATCTTTCTATTTTAGAGAATATTTATTGAGAAATTAATCCACAGTACAAAAATAAAACAAAGCAAATCTTATGAAATGTGACATTGAACCGTGTATACATCATTCATTTAAAAATAATGACACTGTCCAACAATGGCACCAGTGGTTAAAGTTTAGAAGGAAGTAGCATTTCTCTTGTCTACCATGAGCCCAGTAAGTTTTAATAAACCCCCTATATGTGTCATGGGTTTGGTGGGGTGTAATTGAGAATTAATAGGAACAATATAAAGTGAGAAGGCCTGTTACACTGGTTACGTCATAAATCCCGCATCCCCTGATAGCAAGCAACCATTGAATCAATGTTAAAAATTGTTGATTTGTCAATGTTAATGGCATTTAATTAATATCACTTTTGCACCCACAAATAATGTTGAAAAAATTTCAACAAAGCACCATCATTGTGATCAGTGTTTTCTTTAGTTAGGCTCTTGACTTTAATGCTAGATTTTTTATTGCTGTTTGTAGTAATATGGTAAGAATCAACAAATAAAACTAAATTTATGCTGACATGCATGCTGGGTATCAACATAGTACAAAACTAATTCATGACTGCATGCATTGTAGTTGATCTGTTTATATAGTTAGTTTGATTCACCATTGTTGAGGTTTGTATGATGAGAGTTGATGTCTAAATCTTTATGTATAGTTTGCCACAGTATCTTTGCGTTTTTGGAATATTTACATTAGTAATGAAAGATCAACTTCATTACAGCTTGACACCCATCACAAAAAGTAATATATTCTCCAATTTAAATTTATAATTAACAATAGTTAATAATAAAATTATTATTATTAATTATTATTTTAATGTAAAACATCGCTTTCTTTATTAATTCATATGTGTTTATATTGAAACACTATTGTAAGCATTACAAGATAACTAACTTAATGAAAAACAAGAGTCAACAGCCCACCTAACACAAACACTGATCACAATAATGGTTAATAATAATATAATAATAATAATTTTTTCAACATTAATTGCAGATGCAAATGTGATATTAATTCAATGACATTAACATTGACAAATCAACTATTTTTAACATTGATTCGATGGATTTCACCTGCTCTCTTGCTAACTGGGTCTCATATGACAAGTGCTATACCAGTGGTTCTCAAAGTGTGGTACAAGGCTCTCTCTAGTGATACGCAGAGGAATCACTAAATTAAATATAAATTAATGTTAATACATTTTATTTAATCTTTATTTGTTCAGTAAAGTTTTTTTTTTTTTGGTCCCACTTTATATTAAGTGGCCCTGAAACCTGTGTACTTACATAGTAACTAGATGTGTGTGTATGTAGCCACAGTGCAAGTACACATTAGTACATAGTATCTAGAGCTGTAATATTTCTGTAACTACACACATGTAACAATCCTCCGAATGGTTTGTGTAAGTACAAATGTGTAACAGGACATATATAACTACATTTTGTAACAACAATATGTATAAGAGTAATTGGAACAATTTGATCCAGGGGGTAGAGATGGGTAGGTTTAGGGGTGGGAATGGGATCCAGGCGGTGGAAATGGGTAGGTTTAGGGATATGTAAAGTGGGAGGAGTTGGATCTCAAGTTGGTGCTTACATGGTAACTCCTCAGGAACTGTCCACTTAATATAAAGTGTAACATTCTGGACACCAACCACAATTTATATGTAAAGCCTAACTTATACATAGTAACTAGATGTGTACATAGTATGTAACTACAGTGTAAGTACACATTGGTACATAGTATCTACAGCTGTAATGTTTGTGTAACTACACATATGTAACAACCCACTGAATGGTATGTGTAAATACAAATGTGTAACAGGACATTGGTAACAACACTTTTTGGTAATGAAAGTACAAATGTGTAACAGGACTAACAGCACTTTTTGGTAAAGACAGTTTTACACTTTATATTAAGTAAACAATTCCTATGGATTTACCACGTAATTACTCTAATGTTACACAGCAGCGGCCAGTAAGTTACACAGTAAAATCCGGAGTGTTAAATTAACACTGCTCAGAGCATATATGGTCCCACTCTAAAAGAGTGTTAAAGTAACACTGAAGCAGTGTTAGAGATGGGTAGGTTTAGGGGTGGAAATGGGATCCAGGGGGTAGAGATGGGTAGGTTTAGGGGTGGGAATGGGATCCAGGCGGTGGAAATGGGTAGGTTTAGGGATATGTAAAGTGGGAGGAGTTGGATCTCAAGTTGGTGGAGTTGGTGCACCACTGTAATACCAGTGTACTTACATGGTAACTCCTCAGGAACTGTCCACTTAATATAAAGTGTAACATTCTGGACACCAACCACAATTTATATGCAAAGCCTAACTTACTGGACACTGCTAACTTACTGGACACTGCTGTTACTTAAATCATGTGCAAAAGAACTAAGTCCTGTATTTCACGATATTTATAACAAGTCACTACAGACACAACATGTACCTAATCTATGGAAAGATGCAGTGGTTGTCCCAGTTCCAAAATGTAGTAAACCTAGAATTATTAATGATTTTAGGCCAGTCGCTCTGACTTCAGTTTTAATGAAAATTTTTGAGAAACTGGTCAGGTCTGAGCTTAGTGATGAACAGCTGCTGTTAACAAGCAGAATCACTGAAGTAAAAAAGAAACAAGAATTACAACTGACTTCAGCCACAGCCTTAGATGAAATCAGCTGAAATAAAAGAAGATATTAAATCTCTCAAGATCTAATATCGCAGAAGATGATTGAACAACTCTACAAACAGCATCACCAGCTTCATGCATTACTAACCAGTTAGACTATCTAAAACAGAAGTTCTTTATTGAGAATTAATGTTTAGATTTTTTTTTCGACTTACCGTTTTTGTGAATAGTGGTTGCTTTAGTTGCCTCTTGACCCTTGACTTTTTAAACTTAAGTTTGGGCTGGCACAATTGTGTGTATTAAACACATATATAATGGCAAGGAACTTATGATAAAATCATGTAATGTGTCTGAGTCTCTGTTTGCAACTGATCTAAAACTGTAGTGCTTTTATTCTTTTTTTATACTGTTGCAATTATATGAGATAATGTGAGAAAAACTTTCTTAAATGACTTTCATAAATATGGTTCATAAAGAGGTTTAAATTCTGGCACTCATGGACATGAAGAATCAGCATGTGAATCTCAGCAATGGTGTCAAAATATTCTGATAATTTTTATGTGATTTTTGAACGACACAAAACAAGGCAGTAAAAAAGTCACAACAAAAAATAACAAAAAGAAAAGAAAATACTAAGACAATGCAGCTGCATAATTTATTCATGTCGCAATGCATGCTGGGAGCCATGGATGAGTTATGATTGGTGCACCCAGAATGCACTGCAACATGAAGCTGTCTGATGATCGTCACCATTGTTGAGATTCATATGCTGAT